AAGCGCGGCCGCGGTCGTGACGTGTTGGGGCTGGCCCCATGTCCCCAGCAGAATGAGCTGCAAAATGCGCGCTCATCTCCTCAACAGTCTCCACGTGCGTCCAAACCCTGAAACGAGCACGCCGCTGATTCACCGAATGCAGACGCTCCACGTCGGCCGTGTCCGTGTCGATGAGGACGAGGGCGCCCTTGAGCTCGGCCATGGCGGTCGCCGAGCCCGCTGCGTCCCCGTAGAAGTTCAAGAAGTTCTCGGTATATGAGTCGAGAAGGCAGGGCTCGGTGCGCCCCAGCTCGTTCAATATCTCGGGATCCCTCAAAGCTGAAAACAACTTCATTGGCCAACAACGGTTTTTCCTGAAAACCAAATGATAGGCTGAAGCTCCCATTCTAGACATCAACCGATATATTGTCAATGCTGTCCCTTCTGAACGGTGCTGTACAGATGCCCAGATTGACGAATCAAAGATAGCATCGAGAACGTCCTTGAACAAAGATCTGGTGTCCGCGTCCTCATGCGCCAGCCAAGCTTGGTACGTTCGCGCCTCGCCCCGAGACACCTTGAGCTGCTGCAACCGTTCGAAGGAAACACCTGACGTGGCCAACTGCTTCAGCAAGTAAGCATCTGTCAACGATACCATGCGGGACGCGATGTACATATCGTCAGCCACCCTGCTGCTGCTCATCCACGACCTGGTGCTGACGATCCTGACGTCCTGCTCCTCCCTCCAAGCGCTCACCTCATCAGCGCCGTCGCCATCGGCGTCGGGGTCGCGCCCAGGACCTTGGAGTGGCCCAAGTGGTTCGGGGCCCCCCTCGTGGCCAGCAGCAGCCAGCGCCTCGGCCTGAGCTCGCGCCTGAAGAGCCTGCTCGCGCCGCCGCTTGGCCTGAGGAGGCTCTGGCACGCCGCGAAGGAAGGCCGCCTGGAGAAGCCCGTGCACAGCGGCAGGGAGGCCAATACAACGGTGGCTCTTCATTTTGCTTGTCCAATTCGAACGGTTGAGGACATCCACGGGCCCAAACAATGCAGCCACGCCGTAACGGCGCATAAGAAACACTGTATGATCACGGCTCTGGCAGCACCCATTGCAATAGTGCTCAATCACGCCAGTCTTTCTGATGTCACCGTTGTAAAGCCTCCTGCAAACTGCTGCCCTGAACTGTAAACTCGCATCAGCGGTGTCGCTGAAGTACAGGTCGAACACCCTCTCCCTGTGAGCTGTTGCCTCAGCAGAGCAAGACCCCACGTGGACCACAACCTGCTCATCGTGCAAAAGCCGTGCATTATGCCGCACAGCGATGAGATGCTCGGAAGACAAACTCAACTGACACCGAATCATGTTGCTGTCCGTGGGGCGAAAAACTGAGTAGCCTTGCTCGGCCACCTTCTTCTTGCTGTGGGCACGGCAGAGAACAAGAATCTGGGCACGAAGGGGATGCTGAGCCGCCATGATGCGTTCATTCTTGAGGTTGCTGCCTGCTGCGTCGCACCCTATGACATCTACCTGCCGAGGGATTCGCTCATTCACCAGTTTGTCATACGACTGGTCGAGTTGCCGACGCAAGCAAGCATTGATGATCTCCGCACTCGGCGTCTCTAGTACATTGATGTGGGTCGGGGTGCTTCCAATGATATGGACGAAATCATCTCTGTCAGCAAAACGCTTGCGAAGCACAACACTGAAACCAGCTTTGACGACGAACAGCTCTCGCGTGCCAGCGCATCTCTCTACGATCGTGTCGGTGTCGTAGTGCTGAGCGACCTGGGTGGTCACTCGGATGCGCGTGCCGTCGTACTTCCTCTTGCGGAAGAAGATGACAGCATCCGTCGGAGGGCCGCCAGCAGCCTCTGGGCCGCGCGAAGCCCTGCAGACGGCCAGCAGCCGCGGCACTATGGCAGCAGCATGCCTCTGGCCTGTCCTCCAGGCGGCGTGCCCCACGGCATACACCTTCTCGCGAAGGCGGCTCGCGAAGATGCCGAGACGCTCGGCCAATCGCGTGGCGCTCTCCAGGCCAATCGGCTGCTGGGTGTCGGGGTACACCCGCCGAACCATCACGCTGGCCACCTTGCCGATGGCATCGGTCTGGTCGATGGTGGCGGCCTTCTGCTGCTCCAGCGGCGGCGCGGCCACGGGCAGCTGCTCGGGTGGCAGCACAGCGGCCAGCGGCTCCAGCGCCACGAGCTGACCCCCGCCCTCCGCGGGCGGCTCCTCAGCCGCCTCTAGCCAGTCCTCCTGGCTGCAGCCGTCCTCGCCCGCCCGCGCGGGCGATCCCGCCTCCTCCAGCACAGGCGTCGGCAGGCTGAGGGGACTGAACGCCTCGTCGCTCAGCCACGCCTCGGGCGAAGGCGACGCCATGACGTGCACGAGTGCAAAGGCCGATGTTTGATAAAAAATGGTTACGCGGTTGGTGGTTGGATGTTTTGTTATCCTGTTCATGTGCGAACTGTTGTGTTACTCTGTTGATGTTCGCACACCTGTTGGCTGCATCGTGCCAGCAGCCCGCCTACTCAGGTCCAAAAGGTTTGCACCACATAGATTGCACCGCGGCGTTGGCCGTCGCCTCATGCCCTACTTCTCTACTTACTCATCGGCTCCAAGCTGGAACCCCAAGGGAGGCACCACAAGAGGGGACCCAAGGCGAGGCTGCCTTGAGGGGCAGGGTCCGATGGGGGGTCCAGGAACCACTGAGGAGCCCCAAGGGAGTTTCAAAGCAGGGGCCCAACAGTTTTGACACACGTAAAAGGCACACGCACAGTTACGGGAGTGGCTTATAGCAAGAGCTTTAACTTGTGCTGTATGTTTCCAAGGGGATGTAGAGCCACCAGAATCTGCGATCAACTTTTGTTGCGGGCGTTGGCTGACACATCAGACCCCCGACTACTGAAGTGAGAAGCCACGTGGCCAACCATCAAACAAGCAACTCCGAAAACACAATCTGGGAGGCATCAAACCCCATCAACCGATGTAGCCGCCACAGACAGGGCGGTTAAGTCTCAACACTGGTGATCTTCTGCGGGCCCACCTCGAGGGGCGGCGGTGGAGGCCCAGACCCCTGGCATATCGTAACTGTTGCTCGCCACGTGGGCCCCGAGGAAGACTTTCGGGCCGGGCGACATGGGGGGGATAGCAAAGGGGGGGGTTGCGAATCAGCTCACGTAGCTGATTTTCCCGGCGCCTCCCGGCGCCGGAGGCGGCTAGGTATCGAGGACTGGGCCCCTCGGTGGGGCCGAAACCAGCTGCATGCAGCAAATTTCGTACCCCCTCTTCCCACTCACCCCTTCCGTCCGGCCCGGGACTTCTCGACCCCATCCCTCTTGGACCGGCTGCTCCTTCAGAATCGTCTCCTGACGATCCCTGGGGCCTGGTCAAGGGCCCCCTGCCACCGAAGGCTTCCACGAAGACCCCTCGTCGTGGTCTCTCTCGCGGCGCGATGGGTTTCGGCTTCGGATCGCCCCTCTGCGCCCACCACGAGTGGACCACAGCCCCCTCCGCCAGAGCCCCGCGCCCGAGGACTCTGACAGACCCAGCACGCCAGTGCACCGGAGAGAGCTGCAGCCCGTGGGCCGAAACGAAGCATCCTCCAGCTGTCGTGTCCCCCCGCTTCCCCCCCCGCCGAAGATGAGACGAAGCCAGGACGAGGATGACATCGGGTGAGGATACATCGAGATTATCTGAGATCGGGCGGCTCTGGAGGATATCTCGGGCGCCGCGGCCTTCACAGAGCGTTCCAGAACGCTTTGAGGGCGTTCCTGAACGGTCTGGAACGGACTGATCCAAGTCCTCGCCCCGTCCGAGAAGAGGGACGCATCATGGCCCGAGGCATGTGTAGGGCTAAGTCGGGCCTGCCCCCCTACAGGGGGACTCTGGGCGAAAAATTAGAAATCGTCAAATAATCCAGAACAACTTGTCAAACAATACTAAAACACATAGTCTCCAAATTGTTTGCGGGGGGGGCAAGAGACGTGCCCTAAGAAGAAGAGGGGGCAATGCCGTCCAGGGAGATTTCAAGGCCCTGGCCATGATGTCCACACACACACACACATACCGATGTTTCACCCCTCTGTAGAAGCCTCCCAGATGGGGTCGGAGCAGACGGGGTCAGGCGGTCGCGCCGCATCGCCAATGCATCGGCGACTTCGGGGTTGAGAACACCGGGAGCCCAGCTACTCGGACCTCATCTGAGCGACGACAGGGAACGGGCCTCACGAGAGATGACATATCGACCTTGCGCGGTGGCTTACGCGGACCGCCAGCGCGGCACGCCGCATAGGAAACGAGGGAAGTTTCGCGCAACCTTCCGCGGGCAGCCCACGCGCCAATGTCGGCGAAGACGAGCCCGTTTTCCTCTGTCGCTCACGTGGGCCGCCCCCGAGGTCGCCCCGGCGTGCGTCCGAGGTGCGGGCAACAGGTACAACTTTGGAGGCCTGGAAATGGGCACCAACACCAACACAGGGGGCTGCCTCCACAGGGAGAAGAAGACCTGGTTTTCGGGGGCGGTGGTAGTATTTCGGTCGCCCTGGGAGCCAGGATATTACCACCATCACCGAGATCCGGATCTTCTTCCCTCGGTAGAGGCACACCGCCGATATTGGTGTCGGTTTCAACCTCTATGCCTGCGATGACTATCTCTATCCATTGAACATTAGACTTTCTGGGAAAGGGCGCCGCAAGGGCCAAGGCGCACCGGATACGGACACACAGCAAGCCTCTGGGGACCAGATTCTTATCCACACTCAATGCGCCTCGGGCTTCTGGGGAAGGGAACCCGAAACTCCAAACTGCAGAGCATATGGGGAAGACAACTGGTACCGACACAGCTACTCCCCGGACCTCTCCCGGGGTGTGTTCCGACCATTCGAGGCGACCCCAGCGGAGGGCCAAGACGGGGAAAACGGGCAGAGGGTATTGGCGGTATGGGTACCTGCTGTGGACACACCTCCTGGCCCACCGAAGGGCAAAGAGCCCCGTCGACCTCCGACGGTTTCTGGGGCCCCGCGGGCTCCGGCAGCCGCTCAGCGGCGCCGACCACCGCCGGGGGGCGCGACGGCGGGCTTGCCTGGGCAGGGCGCCGGGGCGGTGCCGGCAGCGGCGGAGAGGCGCGGGCCCGAAAGGGAGACGAAGGGCCGGGAAGGATTCGGGAGAATCCGGCCACGAGGGCGGACGAGCGCCGGGGATTTCAGGAAAGGGAGCTTAAAATGGGGCCCTTGAGGAGAGCCCGTGGAGCCCTTTGGGGACCCAAACGTATACTCCTTTCTTCCCCCCACGTTTGCTGCCCCTGTGTTACCGGCCGCCCGAGAGGCCAGGAAGGATTCGGGAGAATCCGGCTACGCCGGAGTCGACGATGGCTGGACGGACGAGCGATGGTGACACAGGGGCCCGAGGACTTCCTGGGTCTAGTGCGGCACGGATAGGGGAGAAGGCCGCGGAGGAATGATCACGAGGGAAGACGACGTAGGAAGGGAGGGTGAAGGAGGAGGGGGGGAAGGAAGAGGAGGGAGGTTGAGGGGGAGGAACAACGATGTGTTTCGACGTGTGTCGTTTGCCCACTGTGCGAGTCGGCTTACGAGCGTGACGGTCCTTTCACGCAGAGGCCACGCGTCTCCAAGGCAAGCTTAAGCTAGGACAGCAAGAGCCTGATGATAGCATTCCGCTGCCATGTTATGATGGCCCCACACTTTCAATATGTGAGCCAGCGCCGACCTCAAACAGTAAGATAATGCAGCCTATGCGATGCTTTCTATGTGGTGCAATGTATGCGCTGCAACCTGCGTAATGAAGTATACGCGGTGCAATCTACGCGATGCAATCTATATGGTGCAATTACTTTCTGTTCGCATTGAATTGTCCACTCCACTGCTCGCGCAAACATCCCACCCACACACCCGCAACGTGGTTTGCAAAATCTCTTAAGACCGTGACGGTGGGTACAACATTGCACTTGGCAACGACAGCGACGCCGACGACGACAGCGACAACGACGACGACGCCACCGACAACGACTACGACGACACCGACGACGTCTCCAACGACTTCGACGACGCCGACAACGACGACGACGACAACGACGACACCGACGACGACGACGACGCGGACGCCGACGACGACGACGATGACAACGACGACGACGATGACGACGCCCACGACGACGACGACGACAACGACGATGACGACGTCAACGACGCCGACGACGACGACGACGACGACGGCGGCGACGACGACGACGCCGACGTCGACGACGACGAAGACGACGATGACGCGGACGCCGACGCCGACGACGAAGACGACGTCGCCAACGAAGACGACGACGAGGGAGGGGGGAGGACGACGACGGCGACAACGACGACAACGACGAGGGAGGAGGGATGACGGCGACGACGCGAACGACGAAGAAGGAGGAAGGACGGCGACGCCGACGACGATAACGACGAGGAAGGAGGGAAGACGACGACGACGACGACGACGACGACGGCGACGAAATAGGAGGGACGACGACGAGACGCCGACGACGGACGACGACGACGAGGAGGAGGAGGAAGGACGACCACAGCGACAACGACGACGGAAACGACCACGACGCCAAAGAGGACGACGACGACGAACAAGAGGAAAGACAGAGGACGACGTAGGCGACGACGACGACGACGCGGGAGGAGGGAGGACGGCGACGACGACGACGACGCAAGAGCGCGCGAGCACGCTTTTGTTGAAAATCCGTGTTGCAAAACCTTGTGTTTTTGTAGGTTGTTTGGACACACGATTTTGAAATCCTTCCGAAACCGATGGGTTTTGAAGGATTTCGGCATACGCGCGCGACGACGCGCGCTTCTGCACTTCGTCCCATTTTTTGCAAAGGATTCTCGCGACGGCGCACGCGCAAGGGCGTTCGACAGACTTCGACATGCGCGCGCGCGAAGCCCGTTTGGTAGCATTTTGGTGAAAATCTGGAAACACCGATGGTAATCTTAAGATTTCGCAAGAGCTCGGCGTAAGCTTTTGTAGCAAATCAGTGTTGCGAAACCCTGTGTGTTTGTATGTTGTTTGGGAACTCGATTGCGAAATCCTTCCGGCACCAAAGGATTTTGAAGGATTTCGGCATGCGCGCGCGACGACGCGCGCGTGCGCACTTCGTTCCATTTTTTGCAAGGGATTCGTGAACAAGTCTTATGTTAGAGTCAACAATGTCCCCGTGTATTGTTGTTTACAAGGGAACCTGAGGGGGAGCGATACAGCCCCCTGGGATAGTCTACACTCATATTTCGGATGGACATGTGGTCAGAATCAAAAATGATGCACATACCCGAAACGGGGGGGATAACGCCGAGGGGGGGGGGTGAGTCTATTCCCTTTTTAGAAAGGAGAATCTGCGCGGAACAGCCTATGTAATGCAATAAAGTTCTGTTCGCAATGAGGTGTCCACTCCACTGCTCGCGCAAACATCCCATTCACCCACCCGCAACTTGGTTGGCAAAATCTCTTGAGACCGAGACGGTGGGTGCCAAATGGCACTTCGCAACGACAGCGACGCAGACGACGACAGCGATAACGACGACGACAACGCCGCCGACAAGGACTACGACGACACCGACGACGTCTCCAACGACTTCGACGACGTCTCCAACGACGACGACGAAAACGACGACACTGAAGACGACGACGACGACGCCGACGACGACGACGACGACGATGACGACGCCAGCGCCGACGACGACGACGACACCGACGACGACGGCGACGACGTCAACGACGCCGACGACGACGACGACGACGACGGCGGCGTCGACGACGACGCCGACGTCGACGACGACGAAGACGACGACGACGCCGACGCCGACGACGACGACGAAGACGACGACGTCGCCAACGAAGACGACGACGAGGGAGGAGGGAGGACGACGACGGCGACAACGACGACAACGACGACAACGACGAGGGAGGAGGGAGGACGGCGACGACGCGAACAACGAAGGAGGAACGACGGCGACGCCGACGACGACAACGACGAGGGAGGAGGGACGCCCACGGCGACAACGACGACGGGAACAACCACGACGCCAAAGAGGACGACGACGACGAACACGAGGAAAGACAGAGGACGACGTAGGCGACGGCGACGACGACGGTGCGGGAGGAGGGAGCACGGCGACGACGACGACGACGACGACGGCGACGAAATAGGAGGGACGACGACGAGACGCCGACGACGGACGACGACGACGACGAGGAGGAGGAAGGACGACCACAGCGACAACGACGACGGAAACGACCACGACGCCAAAGAGGACGACGACGACGAACACGAGACAGAGGACGACGTAGGCAACGACGACGACGCCGACGCGGGAGGAGGGAGGACGGCGACGACAACGACGACGACGACGACGACGCAAGAGCGCGCGCGCACGCTTTTGTTGAAAATCAGTGTTGCAAAACCTAGTGTTTTGTAGTCTTTTTGGCCACACGATTTTGAAATCCTTCCGAAACCGATGGGTTTTGAAGGATTTCGGCATACGCGCGCGGCGACGCGCGCTTCTGCACTTCGTCCTTTGTTTTGAGAGGACTCTCGCGACGCACACGCGCAAGGGCGTTCGACAGATTTCGACATGCGCGCGCGAAGCCCGTTTGGTAGCATGTTGGTGAAAATCTTGAAACACCGATGGTAATCTTAAGATTTCGCAAGAGCTCGCGCGTAAGCTTTTGTAGCAAATCAATGTTGCGAAACCCTGTGTGTATGTTTTTTGGGAAACTCGATTGCGAAATCCTTCCGGCACCAAGGGTTTTTGAAGGATTTCGGCATGCGCGCGCGACGACGCGCGCGTGCGCACTTCGTCCCATTTTTCGCAAGGGATTCGTGAAAAAGTCTTATGTTAGAGCAAAACATGTCCCCGCGTATTGTCGTTTACAAGGGAAACCGAGGGGGGAGCGATACAGGCCCCCCTGGGATAGTCTAAATTCATGTTTCGGATGGACATGTGGTCAGACTCATAAACGATTTACATCCGAAAGGGGGGGGATAACGCCAGGGGGGGGTGAGTCAATGCTCTTCTTAGAAAGGAGAATCTGCGCGGAACAGCCTATGTAATGCAATACATTTCTGTTCGCAATGAGTTGTCCACTCCACTGCTCGCGCAAACATCCCATCCACCCACCCGCAACTTGGTTTGCAAAATCTCTTGAGACCGAGACGGTGGGTGCCAAATGGCACTTCGCAACGACAGCGACGCAGACGACGACAGCGACAACGACGACACCGACGACGTCTCCAACGACTTCGACGACGTCTCCAACGACGACGACGAAAACGACGACGCTGACGACGACGACGACGCCGACGCCGACGCCGACGACGGAGACGACGATGACGACGCCGACGACGACGACAACGACGACACCGACGACGACGACGACGTCAACGACGCCGACGACGACGACGACGACGATGACGACGGCGGCGACGACGACGACGCCGACGTCGACGACGACGAAGACGACGACGACGCCGACGCCGACGACGAAAACGACGACGACGACGCCAACGAACACGACGACGAGGGAGGAGGGAGGACGACGACGGCGACAACGGCGACAACGACGACAACGACGAGGGAGGAGGGAGGACGGCGACGACGCGAACGACGAAGAAGAAGGACGGCGACGCCGACGACGACAACGACGAGGGAGGAGGGAAGACGACGACAACAACGACGACGACGACGACGACGACGGCGGCGACGAAATAGGAGGGACGACAACGAGACGCCGACGACGGACGACGACGACGACGAGGGAGGAGGACGAAGGACGACCACGGCGACAACGACGACGGAGACAACCATGACGCCAAAGAGGACGACGACGACGAACACGAGGAAAAACAGAGGACGACGTAGGCGACGGCGACGACGACGCGGGAGGAGGGAGCACGGCGACGACGACGACGACGACGACGACGGCGACGAAATAGGAGGGACGACGACGAGACGCCGACGACTGACGACGACGACGACGACGAGGAGGAAGGACAACCACAGCGACAACGACGACGGAACCGACCACGAC